CTACTTAAATTAGGTACCAAAAGTACACGTGTGGCTAGTTGTATCCTCGTGAAATTGATGTAATATCATATTTATCTAAATAAAACTAAGTGCCGGGAACCTAAGTGGTCATCTTAATATTAAAAAAAAATTAATATGTTTTAACAACTCTAAATTATATTTATTTAACCTACTATACTTTTTAATATTCTTTTATTATCAAAAAACAACCTTTTAATACACAATACAATTCTCTTATTCTTACTATTCTTGAAATATATTTTAAAACAATATACTAGAATATTAGAACCTTAATTAAAAAACAAACAAAGCTTATGTTTATTAATCTTTCTAACAATTTTTTATACTAGTTTTACTATAAAATATAGTTAAATACAATACTAATAAAAAATAGCCTAAAATATTATACCCAAAACCAAGTATATTAAATTCTTTATACTTTTACTTAATAACTAAACAAATCAATATAGACTTTAACTACAAATAATAAATCTATATAATATTATTAAAAAATGATATCTATAAGATTTCTTTTTAACAATATACTTTTTATAATATCATATATAATTAATATTTTAAGATTTTCTTCAATTTATTCTTACTAGAATTACTTTATTTATTTAAATTAATAATAGTACTAAATAGGGAATGGGAGGTGTAATGTTATATTAGATGCTCTGTGTATAAATATAATTAAAAATCTTTACTATAAAATTTTTTTTAAAACTATATCTTCTTATTATTAGCTAGTTCTAAGTTGAGGAGATTTGGTAGTCTGGTCAAATGACTTATTTGTCCCCTTACTCAAGTCTTTTTAATAACAAGAAAACTATTAATCTTTAAGTTAATTTAGATTTATTATAATAAAGTTTCTACTATAACATTATATTAAATAAAAAAAAAGTTAATTTTTAAAAAAATTTTTTTTTGTTAATTTTATTTTATTTTTTTAGTATCTAGCTTATATAAATTTTTTTATATAAAAATTATTAAATTTATAATTTTATATTTTTTTTTGAGTATTGCTAATTGTTCTTCTAGTTATGTACTGTAACTACTCCTTTTAAGCTATTTTAAAAACTAGACTAAATAACTATATTTGTTTTATTAAATTAAAATGTTTAGCATCTTAAAAAACCTCTATACTAGCTTTAATTCTAACTCTAAACCTAATCCTTATGCTAATTTTAATTTTAAATTTAAATTTTAAACAAAAAAAAATAATAATAAATTACGTATATAGTTAAAATTTATAGTTTTAACCATAGAAGCAAATTAGTTAACATATTTTTTTATATTTTTTTTAAATAAAAATTTAAAAATAGAATTAATTCAATATTCACCAGTGTAGAGTTAACTGATCTAAGAATTTTTAGAGTTAGGGTGCAGTTTTAAGATGAAGTTTTTATGTAACATAATGTAAATTAGACGATTTTAGATCTTGTGAGGTTTTCAGGGCTGAACATTTTTACTTAGAGTACCCGATTCTGTCTACTTAGTACGTTTTGAGATATAGCACCCTGGTGAACTTCACCTCCGGTGAGCGTTAAAATACTCCTTAAAAATATATATTTTTGAAATAATTTAGATTTAACCAGAGGTGAAATTCACCGGCCTAAGAATTTTTAGGGTTAGGGTGCAGTTTTAAGACAAAGGAGGAGTTTTATATGTAGATTTGATAAGGTCCCAGTTTCAGTTCTCGTAAGGTTTTCGAGGGTCTAACCATTTTTATTTAGAGTACCCGATTCCGTTACTTAGTACGTTTTGTGATGTAACACCCCGGTGAATTTTCACCTCCGGTGAGAGTTAAAATACTCATTTTTTTTTTAATTTTAAAAATTAATAACATTTTAAAAATTAATTTTAATTGGATAAAACCTACTATATACCTTACTATATTTATATTTATATATTATATTTACTAATTATTAGTTTTAAAATTATTATGTAGTAAATTTTTTTTAGTTTATATAGTATTTTCACTTTCTAGTAAATCGCTATTAACAAAATTAAAGTTAGGCCATACAAATTTAATTACTTGGTTTTTATAACATGAAATTTTAAAAATAGACCCGGCCGGCCGGCTACTCTCTCCAGAGGTGAAAATGTTCAGGGCCCTGAAAACTTCACGAGAACTGAAACCGGGACCTTATATCAAATCTACATTATGTTATATAAAACTCCTTTATCTTAAAACTGCACCCTAACCCTAAAAATTCTTAGGCCGGTGAATATTAAATAAATTCTTAAATCTCTGATATTAAAATAACTTTTTTAATAATTTACTATATATATTACTATATTACCGTATTTTTTGATAAATAAATATACAATACGAATTGGTAAACTTTGACATAAAACATGCTAGTAGTTTCGCTCTTTAAGATAACCTTATTTGGACAATCTTACTTAAGCTTGCCCCACGATTTTCATGATAATTCACCGAATAAATTCAATCCAAAAATTCGGAAGTTATTTTCATGTTTGATTTTAGTTGTATATATTCGGTAACTTACAGAAAATACTAACTCTTGTGGTTTCACATGACATTATAACATTGATCTGCACTTCTTGCAAAGCACAACAAATTGCTCTCGTTATAGTGAAGTGATATCAATTCATTAATAAAAATTTTAAATACAGAATCCAATATCTAATATTTATAATCACTATATGGGAGTTTTAATTGGTTTAAGTCTAACATCACTATATCGAGATAGAATTAATATTCTATATCAAGAGTTAATTATAACGAGTGTGACTTGTAAAAGCAACCAAAACGTTGCAAAAAAGAGATTTTTTTGAATAGGATTGATTACTTATATTAAGTTTAGATTTTATTAAGAAAAATAATGAAATAACCTCTGCCAGCTTTTCATTTCTAGAAACGGAAGGAATGGATTTTATTCTAAGGGGTATATGCTAATCGGTAACACACAACAAATTATTTTACTGTTTCTAAAAATGTTTTAACAAATGACTAATTTCAATGCCTAATATATAAAATATTTTGTATGCGGAATTTTTTCCGGCTAAAGGCCAAAGCGTTGGATAAGATCACTATATATATCGATTAAAGTAAATATATATGTATAATTACTAATTATATTTGTGTAAACTACTCCATGACTAATCTTGAACAACCCGGAAACACGTGATTTAATTCTGTCAAAATAGTTCTAAATTCTGGCCATGCTGTCGATAAGTGATGACTGAGTAAGATGTGTTGATAACAATTCATAAAAGCTATTGTTATTTATCATATTAAATTTATTTTTGTGGAAAGGTGACTATGTGAACAGATCTCTCGTGCTATATAGAGCTAACTTAAAGTTTAAGATGATTATATATAATAATTATACAGCTTAAATAAATAAAGATGCATTTCATAAATACACGAAATGTTGTTGGTTGCCTTAAAAATAAGATAAATCCAGATGAATAGTGCGTGTAAACTTTTACCCAAAATTTAATAGGCTAGTAGTATGTGAAAATGAAATCCGTTTTGGAATTATTCATTCGACACACATACAAGTTCGGTAATTTAGCCGGCACATTCCGTAACACCTCCGACCCAGGATTTGATTTGTCCACATTTTTACTTCCTAATATAAACAAATTTTTCGTTATATAAAGACCCTTAGCGTTAGAATTTCTCAAAAAATTAATTTATTTGTTGTTCATGCTGGTAAAAAAAAAAAACAACATATTAATTACTCGCTTTTTAAAGGCGAAATATCGAATTACTAAATAATTATTAATTATAATTATATATTATATATATATTATATATTATATATTAATATATATATTAATATATATATATATACATATATACATACATACATACATACATACATACATACATATATATATATGTATATGTGTTTAACGTTAATAATTGATATACGTATTCAATAATTACATATAATCGATATCGAATATAAATTATATATCAATTGCACATTTTACCTATCAATTTATCCATTATCATCTATTTACATAATGTTAAACGAAGATTCTAATATTAAACGACGCAGGGTGGCCAGAGCTTGTGACTCATGTAGAAGAAAAAAAGTTCGATGTGATGGTGTTCAAACCAGCTCTGATCCACCATCCTGTACCAATTGTAAGACTTATGGTTATGAATGGTATTGCCTTACTATTCTTAATTCTTTTTTATAATTCTAATTATTTTATCACTTTTTGACCTTATTCTATTCATTCTTGTTTTTTTTTAATAGTTCTTTTATTGATGCCCCAAAGAAGCGTGGTCCTCCGAAGGGATATATAGAAGCATTAGAAACAAGACTTCAAAGAATGGAATCAGTTCTTGGAAATTTGGTACAATCGGGCGACTTGCCTGAAAATACGATTAGTTCAAATCTCGAATGGATCAATGTCAATGAAAGTAACTTTCGTCATTCTCAAAGTTCTGCTATTAAAAGTCGTTCCTCGCAAAAATCCTATGACTTCTCGATTTCTCGGGATCCATCTCTATCAAGTTCAACCTATGTGAAAGCTTCTAAAGATCAAAATAGTGATAGTGAAGATGGTTTATTGAGTGAAACTAATTTTCGTTATGATTTAGCTGATAGTTTAGGTCAACTTGCAATTGATGAAACTGGTCGTACAAGATATTTCGGGAGTAGTTCTAATGTATTAACTTGTTTAAAACTTTTTAAAAAAATTCCCAATGGACAATTTTTATGTATCTATGGTGGGACTCCCATAAGAAACACTACCCCAGCGGTGATAATGAAATTTCCTCCAAAAGAATTGTGTGATAAACTATTAGACACTTTCTGGAAATATTTTCATCATCACATGATTTTTATTGATAAACTCGATCTTATGGAAAAATATAATAATTTGGAGGCAAATATTCATTCAATTGTCCTTCTATATGCTATATTCGCAATTGCTTCTAAAAAACTTGATACTCAAGAAGTTCGTAAGGATCCCAATAAACCATCAACTTCTGGTATGTTTATTTATTATTATTATTATTATTATTTTAAATAGTCGATTTATTGAGTGATATGTACTAATTACATTCTATATTATATATAAGGAGAGGAATATTTCAATCGTGCAAGGGAAATTCTTAGGAATGAATTTGAACACCAAACAATAGCGACCGTTCAAGCACTTTTAATATTAAGTGTATACGATAGAGATGCGACCACTTCAGTTACTTGGTTATATACAGGAATGGCCATTCGTTTAGCCCAAGATATGGGACTGCATCGTGATTCGGCAAAATGGAATTTTGATGCGAGACAAGCAGAAATTAGGAAACGTGTATGGTGGGCTTGTGTCATAAGTGATAGACTTACGAGTACTGCTTTAGGTCGAGTATGTAAAAAAAATAATCCTTATATTATTTTGTTGTGCCCTATTAGATAACTTTTAGAGACGTAAAAAAATTTTATTATTTATATTCTTTAACAGCCAGTCGCTATTAATGAAATTGATTTCGATGTTGAATACCCTGTTTTTGGTGTAATACCTGAAGAACCACATTATTATGTCGAAGAATGGATCGAGCTGATAAAGATATCTTTAATACTTGGACGTGTTTTCATCCATATTTATGGTATAAATAATAAATTATCTTCGAATGGTAGTAATGATAATGTATTACCTTCATTAGATGCTGAATTGAATGAATGGCGTGAAAACCTTCCACCAGGACTTCAATATGAATCATCAGCTACATCTAATGATAAATTAGAAAATCGACAAATGCTCCTTCATATCATATATTACACATGTCAAATTCTTTTACATCGTCCTCATATTCGTGGTCCAAAATCAAAAATATTTTCATCATCTGTTCCATCACTCTCCATATGTACTATGGCCGCCAATAACCTTACACATATAATACACCGTATGATGAAATCAGGATTACTTAGAGCTTCATGGTCTTACACAATTTATCCTTTCTTTACTGCTACTACTGTGCACATTATCAATGTCCTTAGTGATGATGATCGATTCAAAGAAGTTGCAAAGCATGGTATTAGAGTGACTTTGAAATGTTTAGGTGTTTTGAATCCTTATTGGTTTGGCGCTGAAAAAATCATACTCCTAATTAAAGACTTATTAAAAGTTAAAAATATTGGATTTGATGGAGTTGACGATATTCATGATGAAAAGGAATTAATTTTAGAATTTAAGGATAGAATTCCTGCTGAGGTGTCTGATCCGGCACAAATAACTTTTGCTCCACCTCAGACATCATCAAAAATGAACGCAACGTCCGTCTCATCTCAATCTTCGGTGAAGAATCAACATATTGTTAATCAACCAATTTCGAGAGTCATAAATAATTATGATACCAGAGATCGCAATAATAGTACACATTCGTCTTTATCATCTCCAATGGGTTACGACCAAACATCACCAACAGAATCTACATCTTCTAGTTCAAATTTTATGCGATTTAATGATTATCCTCTGAACACTAATAGCGGAATGTTTCCTTCGAATACTGATACTTTCGCTCAGAATGCATCACCACTTTTATTTGGTGACCGTGACGATCGAATGGGTGAGAATAATTCTTCCTTATCATTTCCTTCTGTCAATGATTTGAATGGTTGGACTAATTGGACTAAATATATGATAAGATTACAAATGTTAAAAGCATCTGGTCCTAATAGCAATAATAATGTAGTTCCAAGTAATGATAACATTTTGGCATCTACTAGTAATACTGGTACATCATCCTCAGCAAGCATGTTCTCTTCAATGTCTAATTCTCGTGGATTATAATGATGAAGGGTTATTTATTGTACATAAATAGTAAATAATTTTGGTATAATAAATATGTAGTTGTATAAAAAATTTAAATTATGCCTATATGTAATTTACAGAAAAACACGAATAAGATACACATATAACTAAAATCATATGCTTTATTGTATATAGTTTTATATTTATATGCCAATCTATTTATTACGCAGTAGTATCGTGGTAGTTTCGTAGTAGTGATAAATCTTTGTTGCGTTATCTTCAAAAAAATATAGATAAATTCTTTATTAATAATAATAATAAAATTTTTTTTTTATTTTTTCTAAAATTTTCAAATTAATTATTTTTTTTGAATAACAATTGAACAAATTGAAATTTTATTAATAATAAAAATAATATGTATTGAAATTGAAAAAATTTTATAAAAAACTATTAGAAAATTTTATTCGCAAATTATAAAAAAGCTCACAACATATCATCAGAAAAATTACTAATCAATATACAAATATATACTTTACGATCTTATGAACTTCTGTATAATGAATAAAAAAAATTAACAAAAAGTAAAAAAGAGCATTCTCGTGACAACAGCTAAGAATAAACTTGATACAAAGAATTACAAGTACGTAAAAAATAAAATTCCAAGATCTAGATCTGATTTGAATAACCAGGATGATCTGTTTTCTTAGTAGAGTTTGATAATTTATTAAGTTCATTTTGAAGCACATAAATCTAGTTTCCTTATTTAGGGGACGTCTTAGGCGGAGACAGTTACAGTCAGACCTCTCTAAGTGTACTCTCTATAAGTGCACACCCTCTCTAAATGCACACTCAAGTGCCGGCCCTAATATATACTTGACCTCCATAAATGCACTTTTTCTTATTATTCTCTATATGCACGTTATTAAAGTGTGGTCCCAAGGGTGTGCACTTAGAGAGGTCTGACTGTATTTTGTTAACTTTAGGGTTGGGATCACTTTAGTCTAGGGCTATATTAAGTTAGGTGTTTTATATAGCAAAATTACATTTTTCATTAATGCCGCAAAGTAGGGTGCCATTACTTTTACCTTTGTGATGATCATCACGTGATTTGCCTCGCCTTAGACGTCCTTACTACATTATTAGTTATTATTTAATACAGACGATTCGAAGTATCGACATGCATGTATTGCGGATATCACAAACCTGTCCCAGATTTTTTTATGTACGTACGTTTCTTACATAATCTGATGTTACAGTTACAAATAAAACATAGCATATTTTAAAATTAATTATTATTGCAGAATATTGGAGGAAAGCCTTTAAGTCTTATTCTGGGAATGTTCCGTTCTTTGGCCTGATTTAGGCTAAAAACTGAACCTAAATTAGGATTAATTCAATTATAAATCTTTGGTTTTAAAATACAGTAACTGGCTCTTAATGAAACATATACTGTATTAACTAGCTTAATAAAAAAAAAAGCTTGTTTTTTAAAATATATGTTTAACGTTAAAGTTTCGGTACAGCTTTTAATATATAAAAATTTTAATTTTAGATTTTATGGACTAATTTCGCTAAAATTAAACATTAGTCATCAATAACGTAACTGTAACCAGATGTTTATTGATTAACCAAGTTACGCTCAATAGTTACCTTCCTGATGTGTAATTTTTGAATTTGATATATTTTTATCTCAAGTGTCAAATTGAATAAAAACAAAAAGGAATTTGTTACTTTGAAAGGTTATTTTCCATTTTTCTGCTTAATAATGTAGAAATTTATATGCCTTAGAAAAAAGATTTGCTTCGCGCGAGATAAACTTAGCATATAGGTTATTGTCATGTGATCTCGCGCGAGATATGAAATGATCACTAAAATTTTTATTTATCTCGCGTGAGTATGATATTAGAACAACAATATTCTCTGAAAATAATTCATAGGATTTAAACTTAATAATTCTAGATTTTCAGATTTAAAGTTTTTTTTTTTATATGGATCATGATAAAAATTTATTATTATACAAAGATAAGAGTTCAGCAAAAGTAACAATTAGTTTTAAAGACTTTGAATAAAGTAAGATAAGTACTGTACATTGTATTTGAGAATAATTAGATCTTTTTTTAAATCTTTTTCGAACTAACACCGTAAAGATCGAATACGATTAATCTCACGTGAGACGAACGTGTTTGTTTGATCACATAAAATTTTTCTGGTTTTTTTTTTTGATTTTACAACACAAATAACACGTGTTAATATGTGATAATATCACAATATAACTTATTAGATAGTGAAATATTTGTGATATTTATTCTTGGAAGCTGTTGCGAAGATGGAATCGAAGTTGAAAAGGATGTACATGTATTCATTGATGATCAAAATTTTGCAATCCTAGATAATTCTCAGAATAGATCAAGTTAGATATTGCCATTAGTTAGGAATTGGTGTTGAAACAGATAAACACAAAGAGTTATCGGGAAGTAAAATATCTATTAATCTATTGTACATATTAGCTATTTAAAACTCATATCTCTTATTCGTATTTTTAATCCGTGAGTATCGGTGGAACTAAAATCAACTTATTTATTATTATATAATGCTCTTCAATCATTTTATTCGCATTAATTGAGTATAAAGATCGTTTACTAATATTTGGAATTGAAACCTACTTATTAACGTTACATAATGCACTTCAAACCATTTTATTCACATTTAGTTGTGAGTATAGAGATTGTTTATTAATATGAAAGACGCCAAGGGAAAATGAGATTCAATTGTATAAGTTTTATATGATCGAAATCCCATTCCTCTTGGCGTCGCTCATAAATAATACTGTATTTGGAATAGCGATCCTATCTGACACGAATTTGTCTCCCGAAAAAGATATCCGTTATCTGAGATCAGATAGGATATGTATCCGTGTTATCCGTTTAGCGGATATCCGATTTATCCGACAATAATGTAATAATTTTCATAAGATAAGTTGCAATATACTTTATAGATTTATAAATTTATAGATTTATTGCTTAATTACAATGTAGGTTTATAATATATATATTACATAATTACAAGCAAAGAAATTTCATAATTTATATTTATTATAATTATTACAAACAAATAATATTTAATGTGAAACAATTCGCAAATTTTTTATATAATTCCTATTCGAGAGGATGAATTTTAAATAGTTCTTTTTTAATTTAATAAATTGCAAACACCGCTGAACGAATGCTCGCTAGGAATTGAAGTTATCGGGATTGCCAAGTATATTTAGATAAGATTGGAAATTTTTTCGAATGTAAATCCCGCCACACTAAATACCTTTCACAGTTAATTCTGATACTTTGAAGTATTTTCAATTTCATCTGTTACTTGTAAATCAGCTTTTCCCACTAATTTTATTAACAAGGAGTATATCGCTGATCGTAAAATCGTCCCAATGATTGCCGTAACTAGTTACGGGCTTAACCCGGAACATCATTGGGACGATTCTATTGATGCGATCTGTTATCCGTTTCCTATTTAAAATATAACGGATAATCCGGATATCCGGATTCTCATAATGTAAAATTAAACTAGCGGATATCCGGATTGTACTATGCCCTTAAATCATGTGATAAAGATGTATGTATAATAAAAACAGGGTATTCAACATCGAAATCAATTTCATTAATAGCGACTGGCTGTTAAAGAATATAAATAATAAAATTTT